TTGGAATAAGAATATATTATCGCAAGTGTCTCACGTAGAAAACCAGCAACAATTCTTTTTGAATGAACATGTATGACATTCTTCACAGCATCCGCAACTTATCCTCATTCGTTTGAACTGCTTCGAACTGTAAGACGCGATCCAATACACTTTCAACTTCGGACAAACGCCTCTATTTTTCAAGCTCAGTGGATCAATTAATTCCCAAGGTTTTTACAGTACGAATCATTAAACTTGTGATATGCTGAACATTCATTTTTTTTCCGGAGACCGTCAAAAGGCCATAAAGATGCAAGATTAACTGGAAAAGCTGCAAAGGAGAATCCCAACACTTCCTTTTTTTCTTTACTCTGGTAAAATTCACTCCAAGTTTCACATCCACTCAGATCAAATCGAATAAGACTAAAATTGAATCTAAACTTTTATGTTAGTGAGCAGAAACCTTTTAAACTTGCCTGATTCCATAATAAAGCTTTATGTGCAATCCTGTTCCTGCGGAGCGAGTATTTTTTTCATAATCATCATGATTAGCATTTTTTCTTCCCTCAGTTTTCTCGCTTCTCATCGCTCGCTCCTGGCCTATCACTGTTACAGATGCAATCAACCATTACAGCCTTACGCTATATTATACCGAGAGATAGATTTAATTAGCGCATTTGTTTCTTCAAGGTGTGTCCATTTTTTCACATTAGCCTTCTCTCAATTTTCATGTATTGACTTCATCGCCTAAGATTTTATCATCCGTTTAAAATTTTTGTCTAATCGATTTGTCCTCGGATCCAGTTTTCTACACTTCACTAGAAGCCAATTAGGAGAGCTACTGGTCTTTCCCGAGTTCACAGTCAGTTTTGTTTATGAAGTCAATGAGGCATCAGCTACAATTCTCACCACCATTTCCACCAAATATCTCAGTTCAAAAAATAATAGAATTAGTTTGTTTAAAAGTGATAGCCCGCTTAAGATACGGAGAAATGGGAGGAAAAGTGGAGAGAAACAGTTACACATGATTGCATTTACGCTCAGTGGTGGACACGTGAGATGAAGTTGGGTTGTTGTA